GACCTTTTTCTAGTCAGGTTTACTGAGGTATACTTTACATACAGTAAAATTCCCTTTAGGTATTGAGTTCTATAAGTTTTGAAAAACAAAACAGTTGTGTAACTACCACAACACGAAAAATTTAGAACATTTCTATCATCCCCAAAAGCTCCCTCACACTTCTTGGTGATCAACTCCCCAACCCCACCCTCAATCCCTGTTAACTACTAATCTGATTTGTCCCCATAGTTTTGTCTTTTGCAAAAGTTGTATAAGAGTAATCATACAATACAGAGTCTTTTTGTCCAACTTATTTCATTTAGCACACTGTCTTTGAGATTCATCCAGTTTGCGGGATATATCAGTACATCATTTATTTTATTGCTGAGTAGCATTTCATTGTAGGACTATACCACAGTTTGTTTATCCATTCATCAGTTGATAGACATTAGGGTCAATTCCAGTTTTGGGCAATTATGAGTAAAGTTACCATAAAAGACATATATATATGAACATACATTTTAATTTCTCTTGAATAAATGCCTAGAAGTGGGACTGCTGAGTTGTATGGGAAATGTTATCTATAACTTTATAAAATTTCTTTTAATTACCAAACTATTTTCTAAAGTACCTGCACCATTTTGCATTTCCATCAACAATGAATGAGAGTTCCAGTTGGTTCTCATCCTTGCCACTTGGTAATAGTATCAATTTGTTTAAATTTCATCATTTTAATAGGTATAGTGGTATCTGATTGTGGTTTGCATTTCCTTAATAGCTAATGCTGTTGAGCATTGTTTTATATACTTATTTATCATTCATATTTCTTCTCTGGTGAAGTGCTTATTTAAATCTTTTGCCCATTCATTATTTATTATTGAGTTGTAAGTTATTTAAATATTCTCCATACAAGTCACGCGTTTTACAAATATTTTCTCCCAGTCTATAGCTTTTCTTTTCATTTTCTTAACAGTGCAATAGAGTCATTTGAGTAGAAGTCTTTAATTTTGATGATGTCTAATTATAAGCATTTTTATAATGCATATTTTTGTTTCTTAAGAAATTTTTGCCTAGCTCAAGCTCACATAAACTTTTATAAAAACTATAAAAATTTATAGTTATATATTATGTAATTGAACTAGTTTTAACTTTATAGTTATAACTTTATAGTTTTAACTTTATAGTTATATATTATGTAATTGAACTAATTTTTGTATTTTGTGTGAGACAGCCATCAAGTTTCTTTTTTTTTTAATTTACATGTATATGTCCAATTGCACTATTTCTTGCAAAGATTAACTTTTCTCCATGAATTGTCTTTGCAAGTTTGTTGATGATCAACTGATCATATAGATGCAGGTCAATTCTGTTCTGCTGATCAATGTGTCTACTATCCTTTCACCAATATTACAGTCTTGATGACTATAAGTTTTATAGTATGTGTTGAAATCAAGAAGTGTAAGTCCTCAAACTGTTCAAACCGTTCTTTCCTAAAAAATGTTTTGGCTATTACAGGGCTTTTCTTTTTATGTACACTTAAGAAATAGCTTGGTATTTTCTACAAAAAAAGTCTTCTGAGATTTTAATCTGGATTATGCTGGGTCTACAGATCAATCTGGGGAGAAATGACATCTTAACAATAACGAGACTTTGAATGAATTGGTAGTACATAGTTCTCAATTTATTAGGAACATTTTAATTCTTGAATAGGGATTTGAAAAAGATTTTATCAGGTGCCAAAAAGAAAAAAATTCATTGGATTTTTTGTTGAAATTGAATTAAACATACTTTTATAAATCATGATAAACATATCTCCTCTTTTCTAATGACTATAATTTTCATTATGTTTGCTATGTAGAATTATCAAAACATCATTTGATGGTATATGCAAACAAGGGTATTATTTTGGTATTTCCAAAAAACGTGAATCTTATATATGAGAGAATCTTATACTCTGAAAAATGACTTCTATGGTGAAATAACTCAGGAAATACCACATATAATATACAGCCAGCAGATATAGATTTGCATTGATCATTAGCTTTACTTGGTAATTGGGTATTATAAATTCTAAGATTATTTGATTTCATGTTATTTTATTTCTATATTTAAAAATCAACTTTCATTAAGTATTGATTTGTATCCTTTTCATGTTATCATTTTTTTTTAACAGGATGGTTATATTAGAGAGATAAAATAATTTACAAAGCTTCTTCTCTATTTCCATGTTCTGGGAAAATATACATTGTATAATAAATTATTCTCTCAGGTATTTAACATGATTTGGCACAGATTAAATGTGACACTTTTTATCAAGAGCAATAACAATGTCTCTCTTTCAGCATTTTGCATTTTAATTTTTTTCATATTTTCATTGCATTTTAAACTTATAAAAATATTTTCTGCTATTCAAGTCTTTTTGAAAATAAAATAAAACTGGTAGGATTAAGGGTAAAATGGTACAGGTGAGACTGATCACATAGAGAAATCCTTGATTTTTTTGTTTGAGAAATTATTGATTTTTATCCCTCTATGGCTCAAGGTTCTAATGTTGAATCAAAATCCCTTGAAGATCTGGCACCCTGAAATAAGTGAGCCACCAACAGGAGTGGCCACCAGAGAGTACGTCAATACGAAGAGATGCACAGATTCAGAACAATCAGACTTTGAGCTCAACAGACTACAGAGAGCAATGAAAAGGTGATACTCACATCCGAGTTAAAGCGAAGCTGACAGACATTACAAGAAATAACTTGTTTCTTCTTTGGGGGAATGGACACTCCAAATGTGTGGTTAATGACTGCTTTTTGCACAGGATCCATCTGAAGAGCAAATGATAAAATAGTCAATTTATAACCTCCAAGAACAGACAGCAGTATGAGCAAGTCAAAGCAGCTGTATTAATCCTTAAGGTTTTAACTTTTCGTTCTGAACCAAGGATAATAAAGAATCTCATTCAATAGTAATATACTTGGTTCCAGGAATTAGAAACAAAATAAAACAAAAAACTGGTTTGAAAACATAACACAAAAAATTACAGGAGAATCACAACATTACAAGAAATCTTATATCTATATAAGAAACTTTGAAAAACCTTAAAAGAATCATAGAACGCGAAAACTTAAGATCCAAAGGTTAGGGTTAAAATGAATTGTTCATATTTTCCCCACATGAGGTGATAATACTTCAGGTGTCTGAAATGACCTCGGTGGTGATTGTTACAGATACATCTAAGTTCCTCAGTTTTTTTTAATCTATGGCAAAGTCATAAATAACAGTCTCATATTATAGCACAGAAAATGTTGATATTTATTGTTGTTCATATGCTACAGATATTCATTCTACTGGAAATGCATGACCTATTTGTACACTCAGATGCCCCTAGCAGATTGGTTAATATGCAACCCTGCTTAAATATTTATCAAGTAAAGTTTTGACTTATAACTTGTGACTTTGCTCCCTTCAGTTTGTATGTACGACACATAATCAGAGAAATATACAGTGATAAGAATTCTCAACCATAGAAAAAGTATGGCACAAAGCCATGAAAAAAATACTTGGAAAAAAGAAAGAACACTATCTGCAGAGCCTATAAAAAGGGAGACACAGCAGTGATTCTCTTGTGCACTCCAGATAATCTCCAGCATTAACATCAGACAACTGGCAGTTCAAAAAACAATGCGGGTGATGAACAAAGCATAACTTATAAACAGATGTAACATGAACAAGGACAGATCCACTGACACCAGCGTCTAGGAAATCTCCAGAGGTTAGAGCTTAGGATTGGATTAGCTGATGCTATTTGGTAGCAAGGAGAAATAATAACCATCCCTGATGAGGAGTACAAACCAACAAAGTGCAAAATTAGCCATTAGAAGAACTTAAATACATTAGAAAGGTGGGTGGATTACATAGTTATTGAATAGTAAGGTAGTCTATTCACTACAAATTTAAGAGAGATGACAGGACAATGTACTCGCACTATAAAGAAAAGCTATGTGGTTTGAAACGCTTAAAAAAAATCAGAGGGAGTTTTCTAGAGTGATAGAACTATTTTATACCCTGACTGTAGTGGTGGTTACACAAATTTATACATGTGTTAAAATTCATAGAACTATGCGCATTCCCCAAAAGTCAATTTTATCTATGATAATTTAAAAAGTAAAAAAGAAAAAGAATTGTTAAAAGTAACTACTAAATATAAAATATCATTACTGGAAAATCAGGGTATTTATTTTGCTTAAGGTTGTGATTGATTGCATTAAATCTTATTTAATTAGAAATTTAAAAAAAAACCCCTCTATGGGCAAAGAAAATCACAAAAGATCAGAAAATAAAACCCTAGTTCACTTTCTTAGTATACTCACATGTGCATACCCTTAAGTCTCATCCATCCATTTGCAAAACATGAAACTGTACTTTCTGATTGTTACTGAAGATGGCAAATCAGATTGGACAGGCTTAAAAATAAAACAGCCTAACTATACTGGCAGGATGGAAAAACTACACTGTTTTGCGAAGTTAACAAAATAAGAGCATTTTATTGAGATATTTCCGGTTCTCAGGCTCTAAAAAATACATCTGGTGATGTGTGACCTACATAGGATAAAACTGTATGATTATTTTCTAAACACATTTTCTGCAAGCCACTTTCATTATTTTTGACATATTCATATACTATTGTGCTATTATTATTCACTTAATATTTTTCTCTAAATCAAATTGAAATCGACTTTTTAAGAACAAAAATAATAAAAGTATTTTTAAAAATAATATTCATGAAATCATAGTTTTAACGTGTCTTTTCCTATTACTCATTTCAAAAAATATATTAAAATTTAACATTAAGAATTAAAGCTTTCATCATCTAAAATAAATACATATATCCTAGCTGTTCCTGTACTGCAATATAGAAATACAGATGAAAGATACATCTAAAAAAATCTAATTCCAAATTTTTAGTAAATCAAGATATCTGTCATGAGCTCCAACACAACTCTTGTATATAAACATTTCCTTTAAGTTTTTGAAATTGTTAGCTTCCTACATAATTTTTCAAATAACTTTTGACACAAATTTATCCTACCGAAATCTCATATTTGAACCCCATCAGCCTGGAAATAACATTTATATTCCCAAGGCTGAGCGACTCTCTTCCTGAAAGGTGAGTTCTGGCCAACAACCCCCCAACCCCATAAAAAGGCAGGTGAGTTCCCGGCCATCTGCTCCATGAAAAGCAAACTTAGGAGGTTCCTTAAAAAAATTCTTAACCAGAATTGGCTTCTCTATTTTATAAACATAAGCCTACTTGTCCTCATAGAACATAGTCCTTTTATCACATTCCTTGTCACCTGCATTAATTTTGCTGCCTTTCCAGCCTTTGAATGATTTACTACTAATCGTATGAAAATTTTATCCTCCATGTTTCTCACTTGGAATAGATTTTTCTCTACTTTCCACTTGATTCTTTATTTTATTATAGGTATTTGAAGAAAAGACTCACTTTTTTTTCTGTCTAAATCTCTTTTGTCTTCTTTTGTTTATCATAGAATTCTATAATTGTATTTTTTATTCAAACGTCACTTGGGAGAACATGATTTAGTTGAAGGACGACTTTAAATGGAATAAGAAAGAATGTTCTGCTTGCCAATTCATCTCATATCTTGAAACAGACACTGTCTAGCTGATGTTTTCAGTATTTGCTATCTGATGCAGTAACTACAAATACCTATGTCATTTTAGTGGGATCCAGACTTAGCAATAACATAGAAAAGGTTTTCAGATCTTTCTCTTTTTTTTTAAGTACAAAGTGGCAAAATCATGAATTTTTTCTGGTAGCATTTCGACAATACTCTAAAAATTAAATAAAAATAGTAACTGTGATGTTAATTTATATTAACTTAAATTTTTTTCATCTACCAATGCCAAGTCAGTTCTGTCTAATCGTAATGAGACGTGCATAACTAAATCAATGGCAAGTCATATTCAATCACCAATTTTCAGGATGAATAAAAACATTCTCATAAATCCTCAAATGTGATAAGTGCAAATGATTCAGTTTATATATATAGAAAATATATATCAATGATTTTATACATAGAATACTCAGGAAAATAAATGGAGGTACAATAATTATACAACTCTTATTTTTAAAGATTCCAGTTGGATTTCATAGACATTTGATTGTTAAAAATGAACAAGTGTTTTCAAACATCTTTATTAAAATGTTTGTATCACTTTTAAATAAACAAATAGCTTATTAATTACTTGTATTAAATTAGCTTATGTGGGTTCACATTGCACAGGAAAGCTGTCTGTGGATTGAGAAGACTGATTCACTGGTAAATAATACTAAAGAAAAGCTTTTTTAAAAAAAAAAAAAAAACAACTACCATATAGCTCTAGCTACCAATAGTCCTTACCTGGCAGAATTTATTGGTCCCAAATAAGCCTCTTCTTTTCTAAAAAAGTAAAAGTTAGAAGTAGTCATCTGGAATTTTGAGGCTTGCAAGCACATTTACATGAAATTTTAAAAAATCCATTTCTTTGCTCATCTCTGATTAAAAACCCCCAAATGCTTACTAACTAGGAAGTACCAAGAGTTAACACTCACCACTTTTTCTAATGAAAGTCACGTAGAAATGAAAAGCAAAATCTATTAGTGCAATTAACTGGTAGGTAATAAAAATGAAAGATGGAGTTGTGGCTGTTATCAGGACTTGAGGAGATAATTGGAGGCTGTAGACAAATTAACTATTATATTACAGTGCTTATAAAAGGAATTAATAAAGCTGGCCTTATCACACCATCTACTAATTTTTCAGTATAAAAATAAGAACAAACAGGTATCTTTGGTGTATTCACTAAGTTTATGGAACTACAGATCTATGTGAACTTTTAAAAAAGATCATTAATTTCACTGAATATACCAAAAAGTAATCTACGTCTGCACAGTGTAAGCAATCATATAAAGACACACGTAGTTGCAAATAAAACCTAGCCACAGGGAAAAGACACACACTGTAGCACCTCACTAAAGGCAGGATGAAGGCTATGGGAGGGCAGAGAATTTAAGGTGGGGGCTACATGATCAAATGACTTAGTACTAGATGATGCTTACATTGGAGATAATTTTCCTAGATGGAACTTTAGGCAAAGAAAATAAAATGACAAACATTCCAACTATCTCAATAACTTTCAAGAGGATGAAGTTTGAATTGTATTCTTGTAAGAGTCTTACAATGACTTCACTAGCTATCAAGTGGGACTGGGTATAGGAGAAAACCAAGCACCACTCAATTAAAAAGCAAAAAATACTGCTCAAGAATTATACAGGGCTTTCTTCTATGTGGTTAAATGGCTGAGTACCCATCCTATCCTTTAAAATAGGGACATTTCATCTTAAACTTAGCGATCTACTCTAACCAACGTTCTAAAGAGCATTTGGTAACCACTTACACAAAATAGTAGGAGATACTAGCTTTTCTCCCAAACAGAAGTAGAAACCAGGTTTTTGATTTTAAAAATTTAAAGATTAGTCATCCAACAAACATTTCTGGAGGCCTCATACATTTCAGATGTTGTCCCAGATTAGATGAGGTCAGATGAGTGAAACACAAGAAAGAACATTATTGTAAAGTTAAAAAGTGAGAGAGAAGTGACCATTAAGCAAAATAATGAGGCATGAGAAGGCACATAAAGGTCTATTCCCTTGGCCCTACCTGTACTTTGTTTATATATGTATGTGTGTGTGTGTGTGTGTCTACCTATATATATATTTATTTATTGAAGTATAGTAAGTTTACAGTGTTGTGTCAGTTTCTGGTGTACCCATCTGTACTTTGGACTTTTCCCCCCTTTTCTGATTTTCTCCCACTTCAAGCATCCAGGATCCTCCCTTTAACACTGATCATGTCAATGTGTTATCCTCCCAGGGTATTTGCCCTTTAATTCCTTTTTCTGGCTGTGTAAAAATAATACACGTCTTAATGAGCACAGCCTAGATTTATGGGGCTCTTACCACGTGCCAGGAACTACGCTAAGGGGTTATCTAGTGTTGGCTCCACCATCGCATGAGACAGATATCATTATTATCCTCCTTTTAACAAATGAGGATCAGAGGCTTTGAGAGGTTTAATAACTTGTCACCCTCACGTTCATGGGTCTGAAGCCAGGATTCAAGTTCAGGCAGGAGTCTCTCCTCACATTGTCCCCTGCTAACGGACCACCGAGCAGGGATGATGAGTGTTGTGTGTGGTGCAGCTGTAGGGTGTGATATTTGGGAAAAAAGGATGAGTGTTCCTAGAATTTCTGCAGCCTAGAAGGCAGCTGCCCAGTCAAGCTACAAGCACAGTCTGCTTGGTGCTAAAGTAAAAGTTTCCTGGAGAAGTGAGTCTCAGTTTTTCACTATCTGACCGATTTACACCCTTCTTAGGATAAGCCCATTTCTTCTTGGGCTACTTCAGGAAAATCATAAATAAAAATTGATGCTGTCCTGTTCTCTTTCCCTGTTGTAGCGGTTGGGCTTACAAACAGAAAAAAAAAAGAGAAAGTTCCAGGAATATTTAGAGATTACACATAGCAGGTGATGGTCATCATTTGCACCTGTCCTTGATTTACTGCAAAACAGACCTCAGCCACTAAATCCTTGTGACGTAGGGCTTTCTGGTAGTTTGGCAAAGCAACCATTTTTTAACTGCAACATTGTCAAATTACAGTAGCACAAAAAATGAATTTTTTTCATGCCTTCCTTCTTCAATATCTGATTTATGGAAAAGAATGAGACAATGGGGTCTCATTAGAACTTCAAATATTCATGAAGTGACACTTTTAAAAGTGACAGCTACGTCACTGATGAGCAATAGTTCTCTTAAGTTACTTCAAAAAAGGTTTTGCCTTTTATATTTAAATACTCTGGCCACATGCCTTTATAATACTGTTTTACTTGTTTCAAAGCCTTGAAAACTTGAACAGAAACAAAGCAAGACACTGCTATCGCAAAACAAATTCCTTTTCTCAAAGATCAGGAAATACAAACAATTGCATACTGTTGGCAGTGGTAGTTCAACCACACAACTCTGTACTGTTTTGGATTTCAAGTCAGAAGTCTCTATAAAAACAAACCACATGGACTGTTACAGTAGAATTGCACGCTACTGTGAGACCTGCATTTTTTGCATCTGGACTGTATAAAAGCTGAGACTTGCCATATTGCCACTGCTTCTCCTCCCCCAAGCATCCTGACGGGGGCCACCTGAATGCCATCATTGTCACTGAAAGGAAGACAAATAGCACGCCACGCTCTCCACAGACTGTCGGTTCAACCAAGTGCCATATTTAGCTCTTTGCTAAAACCACACATTGGCTGTGACTTGCAAACAAAATCAGCTGTGCCCTTGAACCACAGGGATACCTTTACTCCACCAGAAAGTTAACCAGTGATTCAGAATTGGTATAAAGGCTAAAATAACACCCGCTTCAGAAAATACTAGGTCACATTATATCTAAGTCTCAGATCCAATAAAGCTATTATATTACTACTACTTCTATGTTATCGAAATGCTTTATGTATTTTGAGGCTGTTTGACAATTAGTAATATCTGATTTCATCAAATAAGACTTATATATTCTACTGACTACCAGAATAAGGAAAAAACACCTTGTGATCTATTTTGAAGATCTGTTTGGAAAGGAAACTAAACTGCATTTTCCAGTAGGTTTTTGTTGTTGTTGTTGTTGTTGAGAAATTCCACCTTGATTGTATTTTTGGAACAATAAAAAAGAAACATATACAGAATACTGAGATGTGTGTTTCTACCATAAAATAATGCCCTCTTTCTAGAGTACTCTGATAATAAAAAAAGGCAACCTTTTTAGAGATTAATTGTTTCATATCAGCTAAGACAGTTCTGTCCTTGGGAAATTTTGTTCCTTTCCAACACATCACACTTTCATAAATGTATAATTTTCAATTTACACAAACACTGTATTTTCTTGAAACTTGATTCATTTAACAATAATTTATTAAGTGGCTATTAAACACTGTTTTAGGAGCTGGACATATACAGTGGAGAACAAACTTTCAACAATATAACATTCTACTTGGGGAGACCTATACGGGCATCCCCCTTTTTTTGAAAGTTTGATTTATGCTACTCAGTTTTGCAAAAAGACCTACATTTGTACCTGTTTTCGCTAACTGAAAGAAATCCAAAGAGGGGTTTTGCGTTTATGCCAAAGGGTGAAAAGCAAAAATATCGTTTAGCATTTCTTTTGTAGGGAACCTCTATGGAGGCAGCCTGCATCCCAAGCACTGGCAGTGATACTACCAGCCCCCTTCCCCAGGGACTACACTCAGCATCTCTGTATCAAGCGGTACCATAGTTTTGAAGTGTGTCCATGAGTATCTATGCTGTATCTGAATTTGTGTATCTGTTAGCAAGGTGTGTCCTAAGGCAGTTGCTTCTTCATTTTACAACATTTTAACTTAGGAAAGATTTCATGGGAATGGTCTACTTTTGGATAGTGGAAGAAATTTGCATATCTAAAGTTATAGATAAGGTATTTTCAGAGTGTTTTAAGTACCATAAAACAACAACAACAACAACAGAATGGGAGAGAAACACTATTTTATAATGGATAATTCCTAAAAACATCTTCATTGTTTTGAGACAACTGTGACTGAGATACTTTCACACGTAAAAACCATACCATGATTTAGGGAAGCTGATACAGAATTCAGAATCATACAACTGGTAAAAACTGTAAAGGGCAAGCTCTTCAGTTTTCAAAGCCATCTGTGAGATCTCCGCAGAGGATTTTCTTCAACTATCAAGTCTCAAGACAACACTTGGATCTCAGAGGACTATCATCATGTCTTCAGGGTGGTTGGCGCCGCTGCTTTTTAGTGAGTAACAAAATGACCATGAGTTACTTCTTTTTGTTTTTTAAATAAGTCCTTATTTTGTCTAAGCTCTAGTAATTTTTCCACTAAGATATTACAAGAAAATTATTTTTTATTTTTAACACTTTTGGAACTTTAAAAAGTCACCAAATGGTACAAGCAAAAAAACTAAAAGGAAACGAATGGGTGGTTTCACCATCTCTCTCTTTTGTCGGAAACCAGCTTAACACTTTGACAGATAATTTTTAAATTGTTCTAAGTAGAAGGAATACCTTTTAAATTCTTTTTCGGACAGTAGTTATTTTGTTAATAGGAGATCCTGTAAGATTAGACCCGTGTACTTTACTGAAGCCGAATGTCTAACTCTGACAGTAGCTCCTTGTACGTAATCATATGGTCAGTGCAAATGTAAAATGTTCCGTTTTCCTGGCTGGCCCCACATGCCTGGTGACTTTCCATGCTGCCAGGGATCAAGAGTGATGCAGCAAAGCTGGAGTTATGACGCTGAGTAATTTAAGAAACCACATCAAAGAGCATTTCAAAAAGTTCAGTTCAACA